CAGAGGACCAATCTTCCAGACGTGCATCTGACCATAAGAATCAGAGCCATTCTGCTGAGGTGCGTAGAGTTAGTGAAGCTGATGCAGTTATCTCCCCCATCCGGAAACTAGAGAGTCCTGTGGAGCGTAAACGAGAGAGCCCTGGGGAGCGTAATCCTATTAGCAAGGTGGTTCACTCGTACTTTTGAATTTTTAGTATTGAAAATTAGAAGATAATCGTAAAGAGAGAAAGCCACTTGAGTCTGTTGATTGGATTCTTTCCAAGAAGTCGCGTTAATTTACCTTCAATCCATTTTACAGTGTTATGTTCATCAACATCGAATGACTATGTTTTATTCTGCAGGATCACGACATGGTACAGAGGCAAGAGAAGAGCGCTACTGTACTTTCCTCGCCCAGAGCTGCTCCCTGGAATCTCCCATCTATAGCACAAGCAAAACTGGAGAAGAAGGGTGTTTCCAGTGTAGATGCTGTTCCAAATAGGAAAGTAACATCTGCTAGATCACCTTCGTCAGATTCAGCATCACCATCCCGAGATATCCAGTTGCAAACTGTGGGTCCTAGAGCCGATATACAGAAAGTCGCTTCTCCAAAACCCGTGGCACAACCAGCACCTGCTATGTCGAGGCCTTTGAGTGCTCCTATAATGCCTCCAAAGCAAGCTGCACCTGTTGTCTCTGCTGTTCAAACCTCGACAACTCCATTTGCTCGTTCAATGAGCTCAACTGGCCGGTTAGGTTCACTGACACATAGCCAAGCTTATATTCCTCAATCCTATAAACATGCTATAGTCGGTTCATCTAGTTTCAACCACTCAAGCTCTCAATCTACCGGAGTAAGCACATTGCCACCTTATTCACATCCGCCTCCTATCTCAGTATCTAATCAGTCCGGGTTCCCAATCAATGTTGGCTCGTGGGATGTTTCGTCTGGTGGGCTCTTATGGACCGGTGGTTCAAGTTCCAATACAACAACCATCAGCGGGAATCATAGAACGAGCCACTACAACACACCTGTAGCAGCCAGCACCAGGGCTACTAATGTTCAGATTGGGAGAACGGCGCAGAGTCCGATGACCGATGAGTTCCCTCACCTCGATATCATCAATGATCTGCTTGAAGACGAACACAGCATGATGGACAGTAGAGTATACCAACTACCGCAAATGTTCAACAACAGCCAGTACTCGTATCACAGCGGTGGTGCAGATCTTGGGATCTCTGGCAGGTCCAGGAGTTACAGTGACGACGGATATCACCAGTCTTATGGCGAATACATGCCATATGTA